GCCCTCAGCCTTTCTTTTTTACTGCTTGATAGATAATCCAGACTGTGGTTTGGTGATATTTACTCAGTAGCTGAATTCCGTTGAACCTTCTTTCATTGGCCTGTTAAAATCAGTCGGTGTCTGAGTCCCTCCCATTCCAGTACAGAGCCAGCATCATTCTCCTGGTTGACTCGCACACACATGCCATCTAATGGTGCAAAGAGAACATTGCAGATCATTTTAGTTGTGTGGCCCTCAGGGGCACGCTGCAGTGAAAAATGGATGTGTGATACCAAAATCTTTAACAGATAATGTAAGAACTTTCATAAAGATACAGTTGTGGTTCCAGAGAGACAGTTCAGCAGTTAAAAACTCAGAGAACTCAGGCCACTTGTTAGAGGATCCAAGTTTGGCTCCCAGCACTCACACTGTGTGCTTCAAATCCACCTGTAACTCCAGCTCTAAGAGAGCTAACACCCACTGATGGCTTCCTTGGATACCTGCACACATCCACTCATATCCATACACAAACACATGAATAAAATGAAATTAAAGGGGAAAAGCAATGCAATTGGCACTCCATTATTGTTAAGTCATATACCATTAAGATGGAATTATTTCTGCTGAGTATATCTTATGACGATTTTGGCGATGCAGAAACTAGCACTTTTCTTGTTCTAACTTGAGTATAGTAACTAAGTCTAAAATCTGGATATAGCTAACAGATTGGATTAATCTTGGGGTCCATCTGCTTGCTGTTTCTAGTGCTAGCACTCAAATGCTTCCATATTTCACTCTTATGAAATACTTTACTGTTCTTTAGTTGGGAAGACATTTATTGACTTGTTTTCCAAAGTCTTTATTGTCTTCCGGGCTGTTAAATGAGAGCTTCCATGATTCATTTGGGAGATGTGGAGAGGCTCTTCCTGTTGACCTTTATTCTTAGATGCATGTCAGACACACAGCTGGGAACCCTTACCTGCCCTGCATGCCAGGGAATTAATGAGGACAGTGAAGTGAGCTTGGTTTGAGGATTTGCTCATTGCTAATTTCCTGGTATCTTGGGCTCTAGACCTGCTTTGTATAAGCAGATGTCTTCAGTCTTTAAACACCTCAAAAGATGATTTGTGGTAAACCGAGCTGAGGCTTTCCCTGTTTGCAGTGCAGGCACCACCTTCTCTCTTTCTCGAAGCTTCCCTCATCTGGCACTTTTCTTTTTTGTGTTTTTATCAATTCCCAGGGGGTGTTCGGAGTGTCTAATAAGCTAATTTCACTTAATACTCTTATAATGTCTATCGGTGAGGTCCCTTGTATCTCTATCCTCTAAGTGGAAATAAATAAGGCTTAGAAGAAGAGGAACTTGCCTAGATCTATATAACAGTAACTGATGCAGAATGTTTGTAGACATTTTGTTTCCGTTTGAGTCATGGTCTCACTATATGCTGGCATGGAATGTGCTTTGTGCTCTTGAACTCACAGAGTTCTCTCTGCCTCTGCCTCCTGAGTGCAGGGAATGAAGGTGTGCACCACCACATCCCCCAGAATGTTGGTTTTTATTAGTATCTCCTTTGGTGTATCTCCTCAGCATACATGCAGAGGTTGTTCAGTGGTTAGAGCATCTGAGGTGAAGACTAACAACCTGAGTTTAATCCCCGGAACCCACATGGTAGAAGAGTCTCATTGCTCTGTTTGTTCATGATGATATGTGTGCACCTACACATATATACATATGTACACAAAATAATACATAAAATGCAACAAAAATGTCTTAAGGAAAAGCAAGAGCTGGAGAAATGGCTTAGAGCAGTTAAAGGGTGCCTGCTGTTCTTCCAGGGAACTCCTAAGTTTGCTTCTAAGTACCCATGTCAGGATGGTCACAAATGCCTACGACACTAGTTCTCAGGGATCTGACCCTTCCAACCTTCAGCAGCACCTGGCATACACAGAGACACACACATGCACATAGATAAAAAGATATATTAATAGAAAGGGTCAAAGTAAAAGCAAGGTTGTCTTTTTAATCCTCAAGTCTCAGACAACACCTGACTTGTGACTGACATTCTGTCAATGTTTACCTGACACCTGGGAGTCCTTTCTTGGTTAGCCAGCCAGGTCTTCACTCTGCCTCCTGTGACTAATAGTCTAAATAGATGAGCTTGTGGAGAGAATGAATCAGGAAGGAAAGCAGGCAAGGCTTGGAGTTCTCCCTTAGCAGCAGGCCAGGACTCTCTTTGCCTAGAGGTTGACTAAGATGAGGCCCATTCATTTGACTAGAGACCACAGTCACCCTCATGTAAGCTGGTGCTCCAGCACTGAACCATTATTAACCAAAATGTTTAGGGGCCAGTAACATGGCTCAAAGCATAAAGGTGCTTTCCATCCAAACCTGGAGTGCTGAGTTTGAGCAGAATTGCCATAAAGGTGGAAGGACAGCACTAATTCCACAAAGTTGTACTCAGGCCTCTACATGTATTCTGTGGTGCATGTGCACATTCGTGCACGTGCATGCGTGTGTGTATATACACACTTTTTAAATTAAAAACATTTAGAATGATATTTATATTCCCTGACTCATTGTTTTTACACATTTTCAATTTTTAAAGCAAACTTTAAAAAAGTATTTAATTGTGTGTGTGTGTGTGTGTGTGTGTGTGTGTGTGTGTGTGTGTTTGAGCCTTGTGTATGTATGCAGGTGCCTTTGGAGGCAGAGGAGGGGGTCATTTCCCATAGAGCTGGAGGGGTTTTTGTCTCTGTGTAGCCTTGGGTGTCCTGGAACTTGCTTTGTAGACCAGACTGACCTTGAATTTAGAGATCCACCTTCTGCTTCCCTGGTGGTGGGACTAAAGGTGTTGCCACCACACCCAGCAGGGCTGGAGTTATATTATATACCAGTGCTTATGAGCCACCTGATGTGGGTGCTAAGAAGTGGAGTCCTCTGCAAGAGCAGAAAGCACGCTTAACCATTGTGCCATCACTCCAGAGCCCTCTGAAGCAAATGCTACCCTTTTGCACCATTATGGTGACTCATTCCTGTAATCCCAACTCTTCGGGTGAGAAAGCCTATACTGTCCTGTGGCTGCTTTCCACTGTTTCCCCTCATACTACCTCGACTGACCAAGTTTGCTGAGTGTCATGAAACTAAGCACTGTGCATGTGGCCATACTTAATTTCAGCAGGGTGTGTGTGTGTACTCTATTTTGAAATTGATTGTAAGAGATAATCTTTTTTTCTGATATAGGAACATGTATTTATGCAAACTTAGAGGGCCCCGTGCTTTGTCATAGATTCACAGTCTAGACTGAGAGTAGAGTGTATTCCTTTAAACACTGCACTTGGGAGGTGAGATAGGAGAATTGAGTTCAAGGCCAGCATGAGCTTCCTAATCATATCACTTCAAAGCAGGACAGAATAAAACATACATAGCTATCCACAAATTCCCAGTCTTCAGTTCAGCTTTGTTTGGCTGAGCCTCCTCCTTTGGGCTTAGATTATAAAGGGGAATAGAGTGCACCTAAAAGAGAGGTTTGTTTTTATTGAGGAGACTCTTTTTGCATCTTTTGGTTATGTGGTTGGGTATTTTTGTTGTGATTTTATTTTTGTTTTGTTGTTGTTTTCTGTTTTTTTTGGAGACAAGTTCTCTCTGTAGTTCTAGCTGTCCTAGAACTACCAATGTAGACCGGGTTGGCCTTGAACTTATAGAGCTGTTTTCTTTTTAGAGGCAGTGTTTTCTGTCCTATGTGGATCCTGGGAATTGAATTCGAGTAGTCAGGCTTGGCACCAGGCACCTTACCCATTAAGCCTTCTTGCCTGCCCAGGGCATCTTTTAAAATGTATTTTAATATAAAGTATTAGAGTATATTTATCAGTTTCTAAATTCCAAAATATATTTATCACAAGATATGTAGAACCTTAAAAAATTACTTTGGAATTTCACAAATGTGCTTATTATTTTTTTCAAGTTTTAAGTGCTTGAACTCACTATGGAGTCATTTTGAAGATTTATTTTTTAAAATATATGTATATGTGTGTGCCTTAGAATAACTATGAATTTCTCATATGTCTGCTATGCGTGAGAATATATTTCATTTGCTTAAGGAAAAATGAGACATGTGCATGTACACTGAAAAACTTGCATGGGATGGGTTTCATTTTGATGTTGTGATAGCTAACTGACACCAGTAGAGGGTGCTCCAGCTCACCTCTCTTGAATTCTATATGGGCTTGAAAATGAAGGTTTCTTGGAAGAGACTCACTTAGAAATACTCAGAGGTTGTACAGAAGGGTGTTTGTTCTAATTTTCCCTAACTCTGAGGGAAAAAATGGTACTCTCAAATTTATCACCTCATCAAAACATATCTGCATAAAGTATCTTTTGGGGACCCATGATGGAGGAGAAACTGAGGCAGGACAGGATAGAACTCCAAGTCAACCTGGACTGTGTGGGGAATTTAAATCTAACTTGGGATATATAATGAATTTGAAGTCAGCCTGGGCAAGACACTGTCCTTAAAGATGTAAATAAGTAAGGCTGATGAGGTGTCTCAGCAGGTAAAGTGGCTTGCCACCAAGCCTGATGAAATGGGTTTCCAGAACCCATAAAAAGAGACCTTGACTCTCAAAGTTGTGTGTGTGTGTGTGTATGGAAGCATGCCCACACATGGACATACAGACATACAAAATGAAGGAATAAAATACAATTTAAATTTTTTAAAGGAAAATAAAGATAAAAAAAATTTTAATGAAAATTTGGATATTTGAAGAGGAGTGTTTGTGGTAGTTTGAAATTGGGTTAAACGCATTAACTTTAAGGATAATTAGTCCCGGTGACCGTGTCACTGCAGATAGTGTCACTGCAGATAGTGAGCAGGAAGAACCTGGGATCAGGGGAAAGAAGGGCTCGTTGTTCTGAGAACTGTCATGCCTTTGAAGAGTATTCATCTTAAACCTGCACTTCTTCTGGGCTTTCTGCTCACAGCCAGAGGGCTGGTCTGAATCACTGCTGCTGTGATTTTCCTTTCTAGACCCCAGAAGAAAATACCACGTGAGATTGCTGGCTTACAACGACGTGGAAGATGGCTACCAGGCCGACCAGACTGTCAGTACTCCCGGATGCGTGTGTGAGTGGCACACGCACAGCTTTCTGTTGTGGCTGACACCCCCACCCTCACCCCACCCACCAAACCCTTGTTTGAAATTCAGTTTCCCTACTACTTGAAGACTGGGTTGGGGGTAATTTCTTTATATCCCCTAAGCTGCTGAGGGTGTTTAAATTTTAAGTACCTTCTGCTAGCAAGCAGAAGAATGCTAGAAATTAATTGGGAAAAACATATGGTTACCTACTCACTGAATTTCCTTTTGTCTGCTTTTCCCCTGAGGCCAATGTTTCTAATTTCGTGTGTGCTTCTAGCTCTGACTTTCTCTGCCTTTGACTAGCATCTTACTTTTCAATCTGGTTTGTTGTTGTTATTCAGGATTTTTGTCTGTGGAGGGGTAGCTTTTTTTGATTATTTTAGTTTTTGAGACAGGGACTCAGTGTGTGGCCCTGGTTGTCTAGGAACTTGTTATGTAGACCAGGCTGGCCTTGAACTCAGAGATCCACCTACCCTGCCTTCTAAGATTAAAGGCATCTGCCACCACACAGGACTGCTTTTGTTTCGTTTTTCAAGACAGGCTCTTACTGTGTAGTTCTGGCTTTTCTGGAACTCACTGTGTAGACCAGGCTGGCCTCGAACACATCTGCATGCCTCTGCCATTCCTGTGGTGGGATTAAAGACCTGTGCTACTATGATGTCTAGAGCTATTATTTTTCAATGATCAGTTAAGCATTTGATGCCTTATGCAACTCACAGAGGAGTTTGTTAATTTGAGTGAGTCAGAGATAGACCTATGACACTGGTTAGTTTGAGTGAGTCAGGGTTAGACCACTATGAGACTGATTAGTTTGAGTCAGTCAGGGATAGACCACTAAGAGACTGGTGGGAGAAAGCCCTCAGATCCACCCAGAGTCGAGTCCTCTCCTTTTACTTTATACTGATCTCTTAATCTACAGTGCTAACCCTTGCGGTAAGTTCATGTTGCACTTCTCAATAGCTGTCCGTGATCGAATGGTCCCTCCGCCACCGCCACCCCACCATCTCTCCGCAAAGGCTAATACATCCTCTTCCATCTTCCTGAACTGGAGGAGGCCTGCGTTTACCACTGCCCAAGACATTAACTACACCATCCGCTGTAACCCTGTTGGCCTGCAGAACGCCTCTCTGGTCCTCTACCTGCAAACGTAAGGAGCTCATAGCTCGTCTTTCTGGGTTTTTCCTTCAAGGTCGTGGCTACTCACACTTCTTACTGACTTGGGCTCAGCAGGGGCTCCAGCTGAGAGCACTCATTTCAGAGCTGACAATCTAAAATGTTTGAAAGCTCCAGTTCCCATTGCTCATTCAGTTCTGAAAACTGTACTTCCTTAACGTGAACTGACGCATGACTATTGGAAATAGATTACTGATGCTAACAACTCCCTTACTCTCCGTCACAGGTCAGAAACCCACATGCTGGTTCAAGGACTAGAAGCAAACACCAAGTATGAGTTTGCTGTCCGACTGCATGTGGATCAGCTGTCCAGCCCCTGGAGTCCTGTGGTCTACCATTCCACACTGCCAGAAGGTAGAGACTGCAGCTTCTCTGTGAAGTTTATCCTTTAAATTTATAACTTATTTTATTGTTGTTGTGGTTGTTTTTTGTTCTGTTTTCAAGGCTTATTTATTTATTTATTTATTTATTTATTTATTTATTGTATGTGAGTACACTGTAGCTGTCTTCAGACACCAGAAGAGGGCATCAGATCCCATTACAGGTGGTTGTGAGCCACCATGTGGTTGCTGGGAATTGAAATCAGGACTTCTTGAAGAGCAGTCAGTGCTCTTACCTTGGAGCCATCTCTCCAGCCACCTTGTTAATATTTTTTTAAAGACAGGTCTTACTATGCAGCCTTGACTGTCCTGAAACTCCATTTGTAGACCAGGCTGATGTCAAACTCACTGAGATTTGTCTGCCCCTGCCTCCTGAGTGTTGGGATTAAAGCTGTGTACTACCACACCTGTCTTTTAAAAACAAAAGAAAAAAAAACAAAAAAATGACTTTAAGGATATATTTTGAAGTATATGTGTCACTTTGAATTAAAATGGAGGAGGTAACACATGCCTGCCATCCCAAACTTGAGACACAGAGGCAGGAGACTTAGAAATTGAAGATTATCCTCATCTCCATAAAGACATCAGGGGCAGTCCTAGATTAGAAGGAGAATGGAAGACCATAGAGAGCAGCACTGTCCTGAACACTGACCAGCTGATGTGTGCTGCTTTGTTTTCCTACATTTTGGATTTTTTCACTCTGTTTAAGGCTTTTTTTTTTCTTCTAGGAAAATTAAAATTGTGAGCTTTAAGTTCTGTCCCTTCAGGCGGGGGTCTTCTTTATTTTTTTTTCATTCGGTCATGATGCTCAGGCCTCAGCCTCAGCTCACTGAAAATGGAAGAAGCTTGGTTCTGCTCTTAGGAGCTTGTCTCACAACCACTTTCCCTAGGTGTGGCACTGCGTCCGGTGCTGTGCACCAGCTCTGAGACCTGTGGCTCTACTATCCCTGGATCTGCTCTGCTCTTGACAAGAGCCCACAAAGCACAGTGCCAACCATCTCTTCATACTCTTAGCTCTCATTAAACATGGGCTCAGCTGATATTCTGGGATCGCACTGATGTTCACTGGCAAAAATTGTTATTAGGGTCTGTTCTGTAAACACACTGATTCCTAGTGTCTTGAGAAATTAATGCTTTAGTCTCAGGAGCGTCTGCTTCCCACCTTCTAGTTCAGGTTATTGTTCTAAACATTTTAGTAGGAGCTGCAGTGTAAAGTCAGTACCTATGGGAACTTTCTTTGGTTAACAGATGAAACAATAATCTGTACCCCCTCCCCTTCTCTCTCTGTGTTTCTATGGCCTCGCTCATGCCGGGCAAGTACCTTACTGCCATAAGCCATTCTAATCGTCAGTTTAACCGCAATATTTCAAAAGTTCTAAAAGTCCTATCCTTTAGACCAAGTACACACCCATCTAGAGCCCACCTTCTTTATGATTTAAAAAAAAAAAGTGTTTTAAACCTGAAAGTGAAATTAAGATTGGAGATACAGCTCAGTGGGTAGAGCGCTTGGTGATTACCGGGCATGCACAAAGCCCTCAGGTCTATCCCAGCACCACATAAATCTGATAGAATGGTTGGTGTGTGCTGGACCATGGCTCTCGGCAGGTGGAAGCAGAATGGTCAAGTATTGAAGGCTAGCCTCAGCTATTTCCTTTTATTATAGTGAATCTCAAAATGCCATAGTTTCTGGTTGTTCAGATTCCCCCCGTCTGTCAGGCAGCATCGGGGTGATCATAGCCCCTCTAATCCTGCTCATCCACTTTCACTCTCCTGTTCCCACAGCACCCACAGGTCCCCCAGTTGGGGTAAAGGTGACCCTGATAGAAGACAACACTGCCCTTGTTTCCTGGAAACCCCCAGATGGCCCAGAAACAGTGGTGACACGCTACACCATCTTGTATGCTTCCAGGAAGGCCTGGGTTGCCGGCGAGTGGCAGGTCCTACACAGAGAAGGTGAGTATGATGAGCAGTTATTGAGGACGATGACAGTAAGTTCCCAGTGTCACAGGGGAGACCAAGGGAACTGATACAGAGTCCGTACTGAACTTACGTCCATATAAAGACATAGAAAGTAATAAATTGTTATTGGGTTTTTAGTTTTGCTCAAAGGACATCGGCAAGGCATCTGTCCATTTTTTTTTAATTACTTTATTTATTGTATGTGTGTGAGCACAGACATAAATGTGCCTTACTGCACATACTGAGGTCAGAGGGCAGTGTTCATGGGTTGGTTCTTGCCTTCCACATTGTTCAGGCAGGGTTTCGCTTGTTTTTGCTTCAGCATACTTCGAGATAACTGATCAAGAGCTTCCAGTCCTGTTTCCACATCCCATCTCTCTGTAGGAGTGTTGGGGTTACAGATGCTGCAGTCACATCCAGCCCTTGGCATAGGTTCCAGGTCGTCAGGGTTTCTCAGTAAGCCCTTTGCCTGCCATCTGTGGAGCTGTCTTGCTGGCCCCAGGGTTTTGTTTTTTTGGGTATTTTTTGTTTTATAGTTTCAGAGAAAACTTAATTAATACTTAAGAACACTGTTTGAGATTTTTTAAACATTAGTCTGTTTTTAGCTAAGGAATACTAAATTACCAAAGTCTTAATATTCTTGCTGAGGGCTTTTAACATTATGTTCTGAAGTCTCCCCTCTGGACAAGTTCCATATGGTAGTTTAGATGGGGAGTCTAAAGTGTTATTTTGGCATACCCTTAATTTACACATGCTGGAAAAGGAATGTTTGCCAAGCAATTATAAGTTTTAGGCTTTAGAGGTGGTAGTCCACATCTGTAATCCTGGCACTTTGAGATGAGGAAGAAAAATTCCAATCTTGTGACAAGCCCAAGCCTAGCTCATGGGGGAAAAACAAAAACTTAGGGATTGTAATACTTTTTCTTTTTAAAATAATTTTTATTTATTTTGTTTGGTTTGGTTTTGAAACAGGGTTTCTCTGTGTAGCCTTGGCTGTCCTGGAACTTGCTCTGTAGACCAAGTTAGCCCAAACTCAAAGATTCACCTTCTTCTGCCTCCCAAGTGCTGGGATTAAAGACATGTACCACGACCATCTAGCTATTTTTAAAGGTTTATTTATTTTATTTATATGAGTACATTGTAGCTATCTTCAGACATGCCAGAAGAGAGCATCAGATCCTATTATAGTAGTTGTGAGCCACCCTGTGGTTGCTGGGAATTGAACTCAGGACTTTTGGAAGATCAGTCAGTGCTCTTAACTGCTGAGCCATCTCTCCAGCCCTATTTTTAAATTTTTTAAATTTATTTTTAATTATGTGTAACTGTGGGTTTGTGCATATGGGTGCAGTTCCTCACATAGGCCAGAAGAGGTCTCTTAGAAATGGAGTTCTTGAACCACCACATGGGTGCTGGGAAAGGAACATAGGTCCTCAGCAAGCACAGCCAGCGCTCTTAACTGCTGAGCCTTCTCTCCAGTCTTGTAAGCAGAAGTTGTAGTGGTTGGAGATCCATGTTTTCTGTTCTAACCAGCCCAGCCCATTGAGGAGGTAATTTGAAAGGACTTGGCAATTATGTTTCCTTGTTTGTGTCTCCTGTAGCTTCACAGACTCCTAGAGCTGCAAGAAGTTGTTTCATTTTCTTATTGTTTGGTGAATCTTGATTCTGATAGAGGTGGGGAGCCTAGAAACAGTAGGGTCGGGGATTAAAAGTCTGCGAAGGAAGGTTAAACCTCCAGAAACAATGTTAACAACCTTGATGAGTCACGTTTATTTTGCTGATGTCCCACTAGAGTCAGTAAGTTACATGGCCGAGCCCTGAGCATGACAGTCAGGGCTGCCCACTGGTGTGGCTAGGTGGAAACTCACTGGGGCCTCTTTAGTATCATCGTCAAGCTTGTGTTCTTTAAAAATAAAAATAAACATTTCAAGCCAGGCACTGATGGCATACACCTTTATTCCCCGCATTGAGGAGGCAGAGGCAGGTGGATCTTTGAGTTTGAGGCCAGCCTGGTCTACAGAGCAAGTTTCAGGACAGCCAGGGCTGTTACAAAGAGAACTCTATCTCAAAAAATCCAACATAAAGTAAATATTTGGCAGGGAGTGTGGTGGGGTAGCAGTAGAAGTGGTTAAGGAGGCCAGAGGACAACACGCAGGGATTGGTTCTCTCCACTATGTGGGTCTTGAGAATCAGACTTTGTTTATCACACTTGGTGGCAAGCCTCTTTAACCTCTTTGCTATTTTTCAGGCCCTAGTTTTGTTTTAGATTTATTTTTACCTTTATCTGTATCTCTGTGTCTCTGCCATATGTGTGTGGTGCTTGCAGAGGCCAGAGGAGAATGCTGAGTCCCCCAGAGCTAAAGTGGCAGGCGGTTGTGGGCTGCCTAATATGGCTGCTGGAAGCTGAACTTGGGTCCTCTAGAAGAGCAACATTTTTACCTGATGACCCATCTCTCTACCCCATACCACAATTCTCTTTCAGTCTCTCATTTTCAAAATGGTTTTTTGAGACAACACTTGATCAAATGACAAATCTGATTTAGTGAGGTGCTGTGAATATTAATAAGAGCCCCTAGAGCACATGGTTTTAAATTCTTCCTTCTTCCTTTCCTAAAAGGAAACAAGAATTTCCTCTGCCTGTTTTCAAATTGACCCATTCAGGAGTTTAGGAAAGAGCTCAGAAATGAATATCTTATCTCATTTCTGCCTCCGTGAAGACTCGGGTGGTAATTGTAGGCTTTCCCATCTGTGCGAACCTTCTTAACTATGTAATTGTATGCAGGAAAACACAATCTGGATAAATCTTGTTGAGATTTTCAGAAACATTCTTTTTTAAAAAAAAAAAGATTTATTTATTATATATATGAGTACATTGTAGCTATCTTCACACACACCAGAAGAGGGCATCAGATCACATTACAGATGGTTGTGAGCCACCATGTGGTTGCTGGGAATTGAACTCAGGACCTCTGGAAGAGCAGTCAGGGTTCTTAACCACTCAGCCATCTCTCCAGCCCTTAAAAACATTCTTGTGAGAAGCTTTTGTCATGTGTTAAATGCAGAGAGCTTTCTTCTTAGTTAATGCCCTGGCTCAGAAAGACAAGTAGTGTAAGACAAAGTAATAGAGTTCTGTTTTTGAGAGAGAAAATATGAAGGAATCAACTTACCTACAATTACTTAAAAAGCAAGGGATGCAACTTGGAATAGAGAAGAACTTAAAATGGAAAACTGTCTTTGTATCTGAACACAAGCAAACAAAAAACATGGGGAAATAAGGATATTGTCATGTCTGATAATATTTATATTTTTGGGTTTTTTTTTTTAAGTCAGGTTTTCTCTGTGTATCACTGGCTGTCCTGGAACCAGCTCTGTAGACCAGGCTGACCTTGAACTCAGAGATCTGCCCAGCAGATAATCTTTAATATGTGCAAATTTATACATATTTATGCTCATATTTAATTCTGAAGAGACCAAAAATTTAATTTTTTTTAAGAACCAAATACTTGTGATGCTGGGCTGGCAAGATGGACCATCAGGTGAAGGAACTAGCCACTAAAGCTAATCACTAGAACCCACAGGGTAGAAGGAGAGAACAGTCCTCCAAGCTGACCTCTGACTTCCACCCACAAGCCTCATGTGCTCATGGGGAAAGAATGTTCCACCATTTTCTGCTTTTCTGTGTGTGACTGTGTGTGTGTGTGTGACTTTTCTGTGTGTAATTCTGTGTGTGACTGAAGTCATTTTTAATGAACAGAAAGAATGAGTATTCGTCTACTGTGGATTCACTTACAAAATTTAACTTAATTGGGCTGGGAGTAGAGCTCAGTTGGTAGGATGCTTGCCGGGCATGACTCCCTGGGTTTACTCCTCAGCACTGAATAAAACTGCCTGTGCTCGTACATGACTGTATCTCAGCATTTGAGATGTGGAGGCAGGAGGATCAGGAGCTCAGGGTAATCCTTGCTTATATACATGTCTGTATGAGGGTGTCAGATCTTGGAGTTACAGACAACTATGGGTTGCCATATGGGTGCTGGGAATCGAACCCTGGACCTCTGGAAGAGCCTTCGTTGCTCTTAACCAGTGACCCATTTCTCCAGCCCAACAAAACATTTTTTTAATTAAATGAAAATTTTGCCTCTGGTAGTGATAAGTTTTGCTAAGCATTTTGAAAATTTAAATATTTTTAATGATAGAACAGGAGCTTTATTTTTATCTCTAATTATGAAAAAGTTGGATTGGTCCTCCAGCTAATCTTAACTTGACACAGTACGTCTTTGTTTTGTAATGCATCTGCCCACATCTAAGGTACACAGTACAGACTCTTCCTGCTTCTAAATAGGGATTCTTGGTGTGTTTATTTAGCAGTTGCATTACTCAAGTAACTCACACCCTCCTCAGGCCAATCTGAAACCAGAGAACATGAAAACAAGTCCTGTTGGGGCTTCTGGCACTGCTACAGGTGGCTGGGCCAGATCACACCGTGTGACCTGCAGAGTGGCCTCTGTATCAGGATCTCACCTGTAAAATTGCCCACAAACCCCTTGCTTAGTGAAGTACACCCTTGTAAGTACTCTGGGAAAGCCAGCCCTGACTTTGTAGTTGACTGCAGCAAACCCTTGTGAGCTTTCTGAAGCTGCCATAGGTCCCTCTGCATCAGGAGAAAAGGAGAACACTCCCTCCCCACACCAGGAAAGTTAGGTGTCTGCGCAGTGCTGTGATAGCTTTATGGTTGACTTTCTTAAAGGGCAATACTTCAAATACAGAAAGAAACGGCAAGGTCCAAACAGGAATGCTCAGTGTCCTTCACAGAGAAATCACCTACAGATGCTACACATCTGTGAATCCAAATGATGATCACCTTTCGAGAGGAACAGATCTCAGGCAGATAAGCACAGACATCTTTTAAAAACATTTTTATTTAGTTGGGTGGGGGGAGTGGGGACTGCATGGCACAGTGGAAATCAGAGGCCAACCTATAGGAAGTTAGTTTTCCTTCCACCATGTGGGTCCCAGAGATCAAACTCAGCTTATCAAGTTGGTGGCAAGTGTTTCTAGCTGCTGAGCGTCTTGCTGGCCTGGCCCTGGTCACCTTGCAGGTTAATCTGGGTTGAGGAGGTGACTCAGTAGGTAAAACACTTGCCATCAAGCCTGAAGACCCAAGTCTACCGCCATGTGGTGGAAAAAGAGAAGATGCTGCCAGCTGCCCTCTGAGCTCCACGCCCATGCCTGGGCAAGCCCAGGCACACACAAACAGCTCACGTTCAACAGCAATATAATGAAATACTTTAAGAAGAGTTAACTTGTATGGGGTCGCCAGCCTTTGTGGTTCCCATAGAAACCTGTGTTTTTGTTTTAGAAACATAATCAGCTGCTAAAAGATACATTCGACATTTGGAAAATATTTGTGTTCTTTCTCATTTAAAGATTTTTGGTTTCTTTTTGAGATAGGGTTCTTTATAACACTGGCTGTCCTGGAACTTATTTTGTAGACCAGGCTGGCCTCAAACTCAGAGATCCACCTGCTTCTGTCTCTGGAATGCTGTGACTAAAGAAAGACTTGCACCACCATGCCCGGCTAAAATTATTTTTAATTATGTGTATGTATATGTGACTTTGTGGGGACACTTGCATGTGAGTGCAGGTGCCTATAGAGACCAGAGGCTCTGATCCCCTGGAACTGGAGTTACAAAGAGTTGTGAGCCACCTAACATGGGTGCTGGGGATTTAGCTTAGTCCTCTGCATAAGCAATACATACTCTTAACTGCTGAGCCATAGCTCCATCTCCTGCTCCTGTTTAAGAAGGAAGAACATGATCACCTAAAATAGCTGTTGCCCTAAGTAGTTATAATTGAGAAAGAAAGATTGGTCTTACACTGGACTTTTAATCATAACCATTGATCCAGGCAAATTACATGTGCCTTTTTCTGTGTGCATTGAAATGTTCATAGTTCTTAATGTCACTTGTATGTAAGGAGTAAAACATTATATAGGCATATAATATAAATAAACAGCATAAACAAGCCTACATACATTTTAAATGCATGTATAATTTCAAACACAACTTTATGCTGTGTTTGGAGAATTCCTTCTAAGGACTGGAGAAATGGCTTAACTAGAGAGTTAAGATACAGTGTTCTTCAGAAGATCTGAGTTCAGTGTCCAGAACTTGCATCAGGGCTGCTTATAACTGCCTGTAACTCCAGTTCTGGGGGGATGTGATGCCCCTCCAGTGTCTGTGGGCCTGCACTCACATGAATTCACCCCATCTCCATGCACATATACATATCATTAAAAATAAAAGAAAACTAAGCAAATAAAAGCCTCCACCTAAAATACCATCATAGAGGTATTTATGGGATGTCTGTATATGTATAGTACAATGTTAAATGAAAACATTAAGATATGAAAGATGTAGCTGGGCGGTGATGGCGCACGCCTTTAATCCTAGCACTTGGGAGGCAGAGGCAGGTGGATTTCTGAGTTCGAGGCCAGCCTGGTCTACAGAGTGAGTTCCAGGACAGCCAGGGCTACACAGAGAAATCCTGTCTCAAAAAACCAAAAAAAAAAAAAAAAGAAAGATGAGGCAAATATGTTTTGGGGGTGTGGAATGGAGCTTGGTAGTTGAGTGCTTGCTTAGCATGCACAAGGACCTGGGTTCAATCCTAGTACCATGCTGAACCCTCCCACCCCAAATTGTTTTTGAAAAAACAATAAAAAAAAATCTGTGTTCATACATTTGTACACATATACAAATAATTAAAATGTCAACACTGGAATTATTTATATTTATGTATATTTATGTATTAATATATATTATTAATATATAATAATATATCATTATGTATATTTATATCTCTCTGTTTTCTCAATGACCCACAATGAAAATAGTCTCTTTTATAATCAAGAAAAAGATTTTTAAAGATTTGCTTCTATTTTTATTTATGTGTATATATATGCTACATGGTTGAGGGTGGCTGGAGTCCAGAAGAGGTCAGTTAGATCCTTTGGAGCTGGAGCTACAGGTGACTGTGGGCTGCATGACCTAGGTGTTGGAAACTGAACTCAGGTCTTAGGAAAGACCGACACACACTCTTTATGGCTGAGCCATCTCTCCAGACCCCCTGGAAAAAAACCTTTTTTTTTTTAATTTATCCTTAAAAAAAAAAAAAAAGAAAGAAAGAAAAGAAAAGCCAGGCAGTGGTGGTGCACGCCTTTAATCCCAGCACTTGGGAGACAAAGGCAGGTGGATTTCTGAGTTCGAAGCCAGCCTGGTCTACAGAGTGAGCTCCAGGACAGCCAGGGCTACACAGAGAAACCCTGTCTCAAAAAAAAAGAAAAAAATTTATCCTCAGAAAGATACCTTTTAAATGCAGGTTCGTGTTTGCATGGCTATAAAAGTTTACGTAATCTGTGATGTTTCTAGGGGCAATCACCATGGCTCTGCTGGAAAACCTGGTGGCAGGGAATGTGTACATTGTCAAGATATCTGCGTCCAACGAGGTGGGAGAAGGGCCCTTTTCAAATTCTGTGGAGCTGGCCGTCCTCCCCAAGGATGCTTCAGAATCGAACCAGAGGCCCAAGCGTTTGGATTCTTCTGATGCCAAAGGTTCGGATGCTCCACAGTCTCTGGCCTTTTTATTTCCTTAGACTTGATTTCAGCTCCCACAGTCAGTCGCCGCCCTCCTGAACCTGCACTTGGTAGGGTTGTGAGGTTGCAGGACTGCCTGGCTCTCTCCTGTGGTCCTAGAAGGCAGAGGGAAGATCAGCTCAAAATGAACTTTGTCTCTCAGACCACCTTGCTCCCAGTCGTCTCCCCAGCTGTGGAGTCACTGGGCTGGATGAGCTACAAGCTCGTGGGTGGAAGCATCCTGGGAGGTTCTGAGGAAACCAACAGCCACAAGTGGCTGTGGTACCGAGGCTGGGAGGGGCCTGGTTTTCATTAAGAAAAAGCTCTCCCAGACAGAGGTGGTTTTTATCCAGAAAAACAGTTGGGAGGGAGGAAAAAAGTGGCTAAGCAGCCACTCTCACCCACCCCTCCCAGGGGTCCAGGACTAGGCACCTCATGCTGCTTTTCTGTGAAGTGAAGAGCAGCTGTGGCTAGTCTGAGAGCCACAGAATAGTCCATGGTTAGTGTGGAAGAAGACACCAACAGCAGAAGATGAGAATTAAGAACAGGAAGGAGGTAACTGCAATAGCCACCTCACAGTTGGGAGAGAGGAAAGCATGCTTGTCCCTGCTCATCATTTACTCTGCTCCGAGCCAGAACGATGACTCACAGTTAAGAGTGCTTATAGCCTTTGCAGGGAACCAGAGTTTGGTTCCCAGCTTCAGGGAGACCTGACACCACCTTCTGGTCAATATGGACACTACACACATGTGTACATACACTCAGACTATACATAAATAAAAAATACAATGAATCTTTAACATTAAATAAATTCTAGATTAGTATTAGTTATTTGATGATACAGTTTCTGTCTAAATATGATCTCAGTATTTAATATTGGAAAGTGAATTGATTTATGTAATCACTAGCAAAAATCAATTCATGACTTTTCTGCTTAGATGTAGTGTCAAAACTTTCCCCATGAGATAAAGACAAATTATAGAAAAGCAACTCTCCGAACTATGATATGTGGAATGTGGTTCTTTTCTTCTGATTGAGTAAACATACTCTCACTCTAGTTTATTCAGGCTATTACCATCTGGACCAAAAGTCAATGACAGGCATCGCAGTAGGTGTTGGCATAGCCTTGACCTGTATCCTCATCTGTGTTCTCATCTTGATATACCGAAGCAAAGCCAGGTATGTTTCCCTTGTTGTAGAGCTGGTGTAGGGCCTGGGGTGATGGCTCACAGGTATAGTATTTGCTATGCCAAGTGTGAGAACCAAAGATCCCAGAACCTACAGTGGTGGAAGGTGGGTGTGGTACCTCCCTTTTATCCCAGCTTTCACAAGACAAAGGCAGAAAAGTCCTTGCAGCCTTTCTATAAGCTAGTCTAACAGAACTGTTGAGCTCCAGGTTTATTGAGAGACTGTGTCGAAAATGTAAGGTGGAAAGTGATTGAGGAAGACCCCTGGGTCAACCTCAGCTCTCCACATGTACATACATGCAAACACAGATGCATGCCATACAGAGAGAGAGAGAGAGAGAGAGAGAGACAGAGACAGAGACAGAGACAGAAAGAGACAGAGATACTTATGCAGAGAGAGAGATGCTGCAATGGTTAAAAATATTTAAACGACAGCAGCTGCAGGAAACAAATTAAAATCAAGTGCCTTGTAGCATAACTGGGTATTTTTCTCCTTAAAATGAATGTTATGTTACGGGGTTTTTACAGCTTGGAATGTGCTGATTCATCCTGAGATCATTTTCCAGCCATTTAGGGGAAAATGCTGTGCCAATAAAAATCCCTAAATGAGGATTTGGTTTCTGCATTTCTGTGTTGTTCTGAGAAAATGAGAAGTGCATTTGAGAGACTGGCTTTTGCTTTTGTGTTAATTTTAATGGCACACTTGATACAGGACACTCCTTCCCCAGAAGATTACTTAGGATTTCATGTCTAAGTGGTGGTACCAGATATGCTGCAGTCACTGAGAGGCACAGAACAAGTGGCAGGGATCACAAACAGCACTGAGACTAATGGAGTAAATAGGGATGGGTTAGCTCTTAGCTGTCAGGCAAATAAAACACCGCAACAGTGAGTGTAGTTCAAGGTGTAACTAACAAAGACATAGGCATTCAGGGACCCCATTGTTTTAAAACCTGTGGGCTAAAGAGCTAGCTCAGTTAATAGAGTGCTCTGCTAGTATCATAAAGCCCTGAGTTCAATCTTCAGTGCTGCATAAAGCCAGTTGTGCTTTTATGTGCTTCTCATGGTAGTAGTCAGGAGGTGGAAGCAGAAGGATCAGAAGTTCAAGGTCGAGGGGCCTTCAGGGTCACTCAGTGGATAAAGGTGAGCTCAATCCTCAAGACCCACAGGGTAGGAGTGAACTGAGTCTTGCTAGTTGTTCTGTGAACTTCACATGTACATGCGTGCACACACAGACACAGATAGATAATAAATAATATAAAGTTTTAAAATACAACAAATAAATAAATTCACAGACATTTTCTGCTACAAGTTTAAGGCTAGTCTGGGATACACAACTCACTGTCTTTAAAAAGTTATGATTTAGTACACTTGCACATGCACATTGAGATGAGAATGTTTTCTTATCAATATTTTAGGAAGTCATCCGCCTCTAAGACAGCACAGAATGGAACCCAGCTGTTATCCCAAGCCAGTGCCTCTGTAGCAATGAGGAGTGACATGGGGAAGAACTTGGAGAGAGCTACAGAGAATGAAGAGTCCTTGGTACCCATGGTGCCGAGCAGCTTCATTGATGCGAAGGTTCGCTACATAATGTTCTCTCTTTATGGGAAATTAACTTACCAGGAAGGTGTGTTGAATATGCTGTGTAATCCACCCACAGTTTTCAGAGAGAAGTTGAAGACACATAAAGGTACAAAGGATCCAGGAAGAGATGGGAAAGATGGATTTCATTAGACAGGATTCTCTGAGCCATCATTAGCCATTGTTTAGTGTAACTGGACTCCCTGTACTTGTGGAGTCAACACTGAAATTATTTTACACTGAATTTGATGGTTGCCTGAATTGATTCTCAGAGCACACCAGATACGAAGGAGGTTTTTTAAAGACATAATTAAGATTTAAAATTCTTAAAAGATTTACTTTAAACCTTTTATTTATATGAGTGTTTTGCCTGCATGTATATCTGTGCAGCCCATGTGTGCCCAGTGCCCTCGGAGGGCAGAAGAGGGGAACAGAACCTCTGGAACTGGAGTTATAAATGGTTCTGAGCTGCCATGTGGGTCCTGAGAACTTATCCTTGGTTCTCTGAAAGAACAGCCTGTGCTTTTAACCACTGAGCCATCTCTGTTGCTTCCAAAAAAACAAAAACAAAAAACCAAACCATTGTTTTAAAATAAAAAAGATCAGGCTGGAGAGATGGCTCAGCAGTTAGGAACATTTTCTGCTATTTCTGAGATCCTAGGTTCCATTCCCAGCACCCATATGGTGTAACTTCACTTTACAGGGATCTGACTCTCTCTCCTCAGGCATGTGGTACACATGCATACAGGCAAAACACTTGGACACATAAAATAAAAACAAGTAATGATCTACACAGAGTCCTAAAGTCCTTCCCTTGATGGCCCTAGGAAGTAGAATGTTCCAAGGAACCGTCACCAGAGGGCGCTACCTCTTGTCTTTGCCAAGGCTTCTGAAGAAGCTACAGAAGAAGCCTTGTCACATTCTCACAGGAACTCCATAACCATGCGACCTGTGTCAGGCACCACTAACTGCAGACACACCCACCTCAGCAAAGAATGTCTTCAGACTGTTAAAAAGATTCTTAGAAAAGATGATGATGTGGCAGCTGCTCCTTGTGTCCTGCAGAGCTGAACTAGTTAGTAGGCAACCTCGTATGGAAGAGTTTTATCCCCTGATAAGCCATCCTTCAAGGACCCTTTCTGGAGTTTACAATGACTAAAACATTTTAAATTTTACCAGAATTCATATTAATTGTTTGTGTTTCTTTATTTTGTGTTTTGACATATATGGGCATTTGTATGTCAGGGTGCACATGTGGAGGTCAGAAGGCAGTTTGTGGGAGTTGGTTCTCTCCTTCCACTCTATGGGTTCTGGGGATGAATTCAGGTCATCAGACTTGGTGGCAAGTGCCTTTCTCTTGCTGAGCCGTTTTGCCTGCCCATGAGTTTATATTAATTTTATACAATCATTTAACAGACACAGTATACTCATATACAGCACAATGTTACATATTGAATTGATTTCTGATGTTCTGTTTGTGTTGTTTGCAGCCTGTTAAAGGATTTTCTCTTCTCCACTCCTCCTCCTTGTCCTCCTCCTCTTCCTCTTCTTCTTCTTCCTCCCCTCCTTCTTCTCCCTCCCCCCCCCCCCCAGCATGTCACCCAGACTGGCCTCAAATTCACTATGTAGACAAGGTAGCCCTGGACTCCTGATCTCTCAGCCTTTATCTCTTCAGTTATGGGATTACAGGCTTGTACCTCCACACCCTGTTGATAGGGTTCTGGGGATCAAACCTAGGACTGGCTTCATATTAGGCAAGCAATGGACAAGTGAGCCTTGTCCCCAGCCCTAGAATCCAAAATTTCTAAATACTAGTACATATTGTGGTTCTATTATTATCAGTTTGGTAGCAGATGCAAGAAAATATAGGGGGAGAAACATAGTAAAGGAGAAAATGGAGAGAAGAGGCAGCAAATCTAAAAATCAAAGAGATGGAGAGCAGCTGGCGGCTGACCAGTCCGCTTGGTTGACCTGCAGATGACAACTTACTTTAGGTTAAACATGGATCTGGGACATTATTTCTCCACTGCTATTAAAATATTTCAATCATGCAAAAAAGGTTGAATGGAGGATATAATAAACAAATAATCATTAACATCGCATCATAATTCCAAATGCTTGGTTTCTGTAACAGAAAAAAATTTATCAGTATTACCCTTTATGCCAAATGGTTCTTTGTGCTCAGAGCTTTTAATAAGGATAGGAAGGAATTTTAAATAAGCACATACAGAGAAAGGGTTGGGGGTAGGTAGGCATGATAGCATATTGCTGTTGTCCCCTAGTACACAGAAGGCTGAGGAGCAAAGACCATGTGCTCCAGGCCAGCACAAGCTACAAGGGAGATCCAGTCTTTAAAAATTATTAATTAAATAAATACATAAATGAATAAACTTGACATGTCTTTTTTCTTGTGATGTGTATGGGTGTTTATCTGCACATGTCTGTGCACTACATATGTGCCTTGTGTGTATGTAAACCAGAAATGTGAGAGTCCCCTTAAGCTAGGATTATGGATAACTGTAAGCCACCATGGTGTGCTGGGAATCAAACCTGGGTCCTCTGAAGAGGCAGTTCTCTTAGCCACTAAGCCATCACTCCAGCCCCAATATATTTTTGATCACAAATAAAAATCCTGAATATGTTTTCTCCCATGTGTGGTCACCATATATGACCATTGACTTCTTTGGATATTTAAAATCTTTGTGTGCTTCTTTCAATGAACTCAAATCTGTAATACTTCGATACTTTCCCTTTTTATTTCCTCAGGGAGGGACTGACTTGATCATCAATAGCTACGGTCCTATAATTAAAAACAACACTAAGAAAAAGTGGCTTTTTTTCCAAGACACTAAGAAGATCAAAGTTGAACAGGTAATCTGCCTATGTGAGGAGAATCCTTTACAGTCTGTGGCACAGGAAATAATTAGAAAGATGGGGAAATGTAAATGAAGTGTTTTTGACTGACTTGGTTCCACTCTGACTGTGGAGAGCTGTAGTGGGTGAAGGCAGCTGGGACAGTCATCTAAGATGTGGTTTTCAGTGGGGTGTGAAGACTTAGAAGAGAGGGATATGAGGAGTTGTATCGAATTAACCAAAGTCTTTGTTTTTATTTGGTTAGTTTTTGTTTGGTTGTTTGATTGTTTGGTTTGGATTGGATTGGTTTGGTTTGGTTTGGTTTGGTTTGGTTTGGTTTGGTTTGGTTTTTTTGAGCCAGGGTTTCTCTGTGTAGCTCTGGCTGTTCTGGAATTCACTCTGTAAAAACCAGGCTGGCCTCAAACTCACAGATCCTTTTTCTTCTGCTTCCAAAGTGCTGGGATTAAAAATGTGTGCCACCACTGCCCGACATATTATTTTTTAAGATTTTTTTTTTAAGTTAACATATGCATACTTGTGGCTATATGCCCATGAGTACCACACTAGGAGGCCAGCCCAAAGTGTTGGGTCACCTGGAGCTTGAGTAACAGATGACTGTGAATCATTGAAGTGGTGTCCTGGCAGAGCAATATGTGGTCTTAATCGCTGAGCCATCTCTCCAGCCCCACCAGGGAAGATCTTAGTTCAGAAGAGTTCCCAGCCACCAAGGGAGAGACACTGACATAGACAGTCCATTCACAAAGATATCTTTGTTGTTGTTGTTGTTGTTGTGTTTTGGTTTGGTTTGGTTTGGTTTGGTTTGGTTTTTTCAAAACAGGGTTTCTTTGTGTAACCCTGGCTGTCCTATAACTAGCACTGTGGATCAGGTTTGTATTGAACTCAGAGATCCGCCTGCCTCTGTTTCCCAAGTGCTGGGATTAAAGGTGTGTACCACACCCAACAGCATGACTGTAACTTTTTGTCCACAAACTTGAACTATCTGCTGTCTCATGGCTACTTTATCTATTTTTGCCTAGACTCAAACAAGATTTACTCAGGCCGTCTGCTTTTACCAGCCAGGCACCACAGTGCTGATCAGCAATGAAGACTCCTCCAGCTCCCCAGGGCAGACCACCAGCTTCCCAAGACCTTTTGGGGCTACTACCCTTGACACTGAGCATTCAGCGAACAGTGAAAGCAGCCATGAGACAGGGGATTCTGGAAGGTTTTCCCACGAGTCCAATGATGAGATACACCTGTCCTCCGTTGTCAGCAGCACACCCCCCACCTCGAATTCCCTCGCTGGTGGTGATTCTGATGGGGATGCTGCACCGAAGAAGCATGGAGACCCTGCCCAGCCCTTGCCAGCTGAGCAGACCTCAGCCCCACAGCCAATATCTGCAGCGCTAGGATATGCTGCACAGGGTTTTCCCGTCTAGACAGCCACACTCAGATATTCACAACAAGCATCTGTTCGAAGGACAATGAACAGGGAGCCAAAGCCTTCTGTGAAAATCTTGAGGTCTTACTGTTTATTGTTTGTTTTGTTTGTTTTTTATCTTTTTTTTAATTATTTTTAAGCTCACGAATTTTGAATGTTTCAATTGTCAACAATGTGAAAAAGGGCAATCAAGATGCTTGACTGGACCCTTAAGATATATCACTGGAGTGGAGGGAAGACTGCCTGTGCCCTCTGCTGAATAGCTACCTCAGTTTGCTGTTGGCGGACTCTGAAGACAACTGTGCTGCCTTCTTGTGCTGGTTTCTCTCAGTAGCATAACCAGCGGGACTTCCTAGTGATGCTGTGTGTCCATTGTATGTGTGGTGTGTGTGACTGAAGGAGCCCGATAGGTAGAAGAGGAAGGATGTTGATCTGAAGCTCTGATTTTTTTTTTTTCCTTAAGAACTGTGGCACCTGCATGATTTGGATAATGCCTTTGGGTGTGAGGAGAAAATATGGGAGTATATTTACTTGAATGGGTGAAACAAATAATGTCCCTTTGGAGAAGAGAACCCTTCCACGGTGTATAGGGGATAGTGTCCTCGCAAGGCTGTTGGGTTCGGGGGCACCAGAGCAGGGGATTTTGCTGCAGTCTGTACCATCCTGTCCTCAGCCTGCAGAAGCCACCTTTCCCTTTTTCCCGCAGCCAGACATGAGCTGCACTGTCTACTGTGGAATACCTTCAGAGTCTCCAGAGATAGCTGCAAATACAACGTAGGAAAGTGGATTTTTTTTTAATGGTTCAAATTTTCGTTTTTAAAATCTTAGTTTGGCTTCAAATGGGGCAAAGAAAGGTTATTAAATATGAAGCATGAAGATAAATGACACGGCAGAGAGTAAGACAAGCTTGAGGTGTTCATGATAGCAGTGCCTTCCATTATGAAAAATTTTGCCTTATACCTTTTTAATATTCACAAAGATGTTTAGGAAAAAAGGTACCAAACATTTGCCTTAAAAAAAGCTTGATCTTAACCGATAGCTGTTGTGCTGTTGGTGCCTTGCTCTACTTGTTCTTCTTTGGAAGCATGTTTGCTCCTCGCCACCCTAGCGGCTCGGCTTTTGGCTTTGTACCCCACTAACACTGGAAGTGAGTTCATCCTCTGGTTTGAAATCAGCAAATTGTTTATTCCCTTGGTAGGCCAGGCCTTCTCGTCAGGGTTGCCTTCTGGGCAACATGCTAGGTACTGAGCGACGTGAGAGAGACAAACACTGAGCCATAAGAAGAAGAAACATGTCCTTAACCTTTTAAAATCATGTGTTTTGCCCTCCCCCCAATTTTTTTGGAAATGGCTTTTGAAATGCATTTTAAAAGAAGAACCCTCTGTGGGTTTTCCCCTTGAAACCGTCCCTCCATGAACAGACAAGGCAGGTCCTGCCAAATGGTGTTCTAAAGTTAAGGGGACTCTGCCACATAATCACCCTGGAGTCATCTATCATGATGGCCTGCCATTGCCACAGTTTTCATCGTGATTCTAAGTTTTGTGCCAAATTGGACTTGCTTAGAAGCCGACCAACAAGATGTGCCACTTCTCAGCACAGTTCTGAACCTTTCACTGTGGACTTCTTGGCAAAATGGGAGGAAAAGAAAGAAGAAAGAAAGAAAAAAGCAGAGCTTTAGTTGAACAATCAGTGGCGAGAGAAATGGCTTCCTTCTCCTGCCTTGGCGCTCCTGTTTATACTACCTCGTTTCTAACGCTGTTCTAGTGTTACTGCTCTCTCCTGTACTCAGGGACTTCTGTTGTTACTCTTGAGCTCATGATGCATGGGCGGTGCGTTGACAGGGTATGGTGGTGTTTGGTTCGTAAGTAGAAGTACGTGGGCCAACTTCTCTTAGTATCTAAAATGAAGGGGCACAATGGGATAGGTGGTTTTCAATTGTCAGAAGCAAACAGAATGTAACAGAATGTAAAGGAGAAGCCAGGTTTAGGGCTGTACTTACTTAAACCACACTCCCTGCCTGGAACAGGCTGTGACAGGATAGTCCCAGAAGAAAGTGCTCTGTTTAAAGATGAATACACCCTTAGTCATGATAGACCTTTAGCTTATAATTATTTGCTAGTTCATTTTTTAACTTTTTCATTTTTGTTCTTATACAAACTTTCCTGTCAATTCTTTTACCAAAGAATTTCCAATGGACAGTAAAATTTCTATAATTACTTTAAATCCAATTCACTAGAAACTGCTATAAATAGACTAGAATACAAGTCATTTCTAACCCTAAACTGAAGGGTTTATATTGATAATTACAATTAATTAGGCGATTGACATAAACTACCTTACTGTCACCAAAGAGTTTAAAATAAATTGTTGTAATTTCCTTGTCAGCAGATGGTTACAAACTATTTAAACTGTAGGGTTTTTCTTTTTCCTTCAGCAAGTAAAGAAACCTTCAATTCTATACTATTAATGTATTTTCAAGTTGTTGAAATTACTTGTTGAAGAAAAAAATCTTACTACTAATCTCATGGACTAAGGTATTTAATGTTCAACAGAGGCTTTCTGCTTGGCGAAAGCCAGCTTTTCTGAAGTCTGAAGTTCGAGATTCTTACTCAAGGGTGAAGGTTATCCTGTCTTCCTCAAGGTTTCATTACTTCACCATATTCAACTCCAAATAAGCAGACATGCAGATTAGGAACTGTTTCACTTTCCAAAAACGTATTTGCTGGAAGTGATAACCTGCCTGCCTGTCATTTTTAATGTCAAATATTACAATAAACTGCTCATCAGTATTTTCATACCAAAGACCATTAAAATGTATAGTTTAGCCTATAAGAAAAGATGAGCAGGTTTAAAATAAATTTATTTAGAAGCAGATATGGAATATAGGTTTTTAGTGGCATAAAGAAAATATCAAAAGGCTAAGTTTACATAGTTAGAGGCAATATTGGTATTTATCAGTGTTTTTTATTTGATAACTTTATATCAGCAAATTAAAAAGAAATTAAAAACCAAAGATATTTAAGGTTACCTCAGAATATAGGGAAATTTAGCTGTACATTGAACTGTTATTTGTTGTTTTATGTTAACAAACTGTCTCTCTAGAACCTCTCCTCTGTGTCCAGATAGCATCCTGGGGATTTTCCGTGAAATATGTTCATTCAGCCACAGGGATGTTTTTACTAAATGTAAACTTCGGTCCAGCCAATGAGTATGACAAGTCAGCAGAGAGACCCCCAGACTCCTCTGTTATGGAGTACCATGGGAACCCCTACATCATCCTACATAGTCTGTAGTCCTATGTAAAATGGTTCTCCAGTTACTCAGACAGCTTGAGGAAAGCAACATGTGCCTTCGTTTGGGTGGGTGGAGCTTTGCATTCAAATAGGGTTCCTAAGTTGTAAGATTGTCATTGCATCAAAGAGCTAGGCTTTCAATCTCAAATGAAGACCTGGGTGAAGAAGGGTGGATTTGTACAGAATCTAGAGATTTATACAAGATGGTCTTATCCATTGAGTGAATTGTTTTAAAATGCCAAGGGGATTAGATGTTACTGACATGTTACGGGCTCTCTTGCCTTTACCTCAGACATGAGCAATGGCAGCGATTCAGCAGTGTGCACTGTTTGTCTGTCTTCTGAAGGACTTCTGCAAAATGTATAAAAAAAGGCTCATAGCCGATGACTCAGGAGCACTGCTCAAGTCCTTAGATGCCATTGGAAACAATGCTTCGTGTTGTTGAAGGCTGGCGTGGTTCACTCCTGTAATCACCTGCAGCAGCCGGAGGAAGGGGGCGGGGTGCATTTTAGGAAATGCTACCACATATGGGTCAGTCAGTGCCTGTTGTAATTCATGATTCAATTCTGTGCATTTGCATATTATCAGATGTCCATTTTGAATACCAGATGTGGAAAAAGAGTTTGAACTGTATTGTAAAGAGCTGGTGCCTAAGGCCAACCATGTATTTTGCAAGATTTTCTTCCTGAAAATTTACTACATGCATCCCTGATAAAATTGCTTTGGTAGAAATTTAAAAAAAAAATCACTTCTGGGCTGTGTGAGCACAGAGCGGTGGGTTCTGGAGACCACCCACATCCGTTTGTCTAACTGTGACTTGTGTTGACATTTAGAAGGCAACCATAGGTTCTATGCCAAGTTTTTCATGCTCAGGACACAAGTTCACAGGCTAATGCCACGCTTGTGTTGCAGACTTATCTAGCAGGTGGGTATCGGATTGATTTTCTTGCAATTTCTTCTAACAAACTAGCACTAATTTAGTGTCTGTAAACAGCAACACAGTCTTGGAGATCTGTAGGTCAGAACTCTTTCTTTTTGAGGCAGTTTCCTGCTGTAAAACCCTGTCCTGGAACCTACTGTATGTGTAAACCAGGCCAGCCTTGAACTAGTGGTGACCCTGCCACCTCATCCTCCCACACCCTGATATTACGGGGGTGTGCCACCAGCCCAGCTATAATGAAGGTACAGACGGGCCACACTCCTTCTGAGGCCTGAAGGAGTGATCCATTCCCTTGCCCATTTCACCTTTTGAAGATGGAACTCTTTCCTTCAAAGCCAGCCACATAGCCCCTCTCCTCCTCTTTCAGGCCCCCAAAAGAAAAGTTCTTCAATTTTAAGTACTCATTTGATTAGATTATTCTGGCCTTGATCATCTTAGATGATGTCCTTATATGAACCATGTCTGCCAGGTTTCTTTTGTCATACATGGTAAGATTCTCACAGGTTCCAGGCGTTTCCCTGCAAACGTCTGTGGGTGGATCTTTCTCACCGGCTGCATCTTTTAGCCATCCTTTTTCTGGGATATTTTAGACCCCAGAGCTCTCTTTGTTTAATTTCTGCATCATTTACAGTCTGGCCCTCTTTCAGTTTTGAAGGACAACTAATGTTCAGCATTGCTTCAGTAGAAGAGATAAAGCTGTTTCAATCATAGATGATAACCAGGATGAGATTCTTGATATGGAAAGGCTAGCTGTCCTTGAACTCC